AAAAAAATACACAGAAGAAAAAATAAGATAACTGGAACCTCCTAAAAATTAGACACTTAAACATGTATCAAAAGATTCCCCCCTCAAAAAAAAAAGATTTCCCCAAAAGAGTGGCAAGGGAGCCCAGAGACTGGGAGAAAAATTTTGCAATTAGAAAACTATAACACCTCTACAAGAAAAGGACAAAAAACCTAATTAAAAAATGAGCACAGCACAAGAACCAACACTTCATCAAGGAAGACATTCAGGCAGCCAGCAAACATGAAGAAGTGTTCGCTTTCATTAGCTGTTAGAGAGATGCAAATCAAAGCAATAATCAGATATGATCTTATATCAGCATTAATAGCAAAGTTAAAAAAAAAACAACCAGAAAGCAACAGGTGATGGCAAGGCTGTGGAGAGACTGGGATCCTCCTATATTGCTGGTGGTACTGTAAAATGGTTCAACCACTCTGGAAAACAGGTTGGTACATCCTCAGAAAGTTGGAAATAGAAATACCTATGACCCAGTATATATATGTATATACTTTGTATATAGCAACAAGATATATATGCACAAGACCTCTTTAAAGTGTTCAAGAGCAAAGATGTCAGTTTGAGGACTATGGTGTGCCTGACCCAAGCCATGGTATTTTCAATAACCACACAGGCATGCAAAAGTTGGACAGTAAATAAGGAAGACCATAGAAGAATTGATGCATTTGAGCTGTGGTGTTGGAGGAGAGTATTAAAAGTACCATGGGCTGCCAAAAGAACAAACCAATTTGTGCTGGAATAAATACAGCCAAAATGCTGCTTGAAAACCAAGATGGCCAGACTTCGTCTCTCATACTTCAGATATATTATAAGGAGAGACCAGTCCCTGGAAATGGACATCATGTTTAGTAAAATGGCGCATCGGAGATAAAGAGGAAGATCCCCAACGAGATGTATTGGCACTGGGCTCAAATGTAGCAACAATTATGAGGTTGGTGCAGGCCTGGGCAGTGTTTGGTTCTGTTGTGCATAGGATCTCTATGAGTCTGTACCAACTTGATGGCACTTAACAACAAGAAGTAACAGCCAGGACATGCGTAGATATCTGCACACCGATGTTCATTGCAGCGCTATTCACAATAACAAAAAAGATGGAGACAGCTTAATTGTTCATCAGTGGACGAATGAATAAACAAACTTTGGTACATACACACAATGGAATAAATACTGAGCTCTGGTAGCATAGTGGTTACGAATCGGGCTGTGAACCATAAGGTCAGCGGTTCGAAACTACCAGCCGCTCCGCGGGAGAAAGATAAGGCTTTCTACTCCCGTAAAGATTTACACCCTCGGAAACCCTGTTACAGGGTCACTATGGGTCGGAACTGACTCGATGGCACTTAACAACAACAACAACAAGTATTGAAGAATAATGATGACTCTGTGAAACACCTCATAACACGGATGAACCTAGAAGACATATGCTGAGTGAAATTAGTAATTCACAAAAGGACAAACATTGTATGATACCAATGTTGTAAAAACTCAAGAAAAGCTTTTCATATTAAATGAAACATTCTTTGATGATTACCAAAGGTGGGAGGGAAGGGAGAATAATTCACTGACTAGAGGGTTGTTGTTAAGTGCCGTCAAGTTGGTTCTGATTCATAGTGACCCTACATAGGGTTTCCGAGGAGTGGCTGGTGAATTTGAACTGCCCACCTTACAGCACAAACCGACCTTGTGATCCAGTGCATTATCCTGCAGCACCACACCAGGACTCCTGACTAGAGGGTAGACACATGTTAACTCGGTGACAGACAGGGCAATATACAATAAGGTGGAGGGCAGTATACAAGAAGAGGGAGGTTGGGGGGGAAGAATGATGAGGACAAGTGAAGACACAGGGAGATATGCAAAGGCTAAAAGAGGATGGGGTAAATAGTAATATATACATAACCTTGAAACAATAGCATTATGCACGTAGATGTAGATACATGACAGATACACAGGCTGAATGGGTATGGAGGAAAAATGGAAGTATACCCACAAAAGAGGGTATTTGTATATGGTGGCGCATACAACAGACAAAAAATGGTGAAAACTTCTTAGATAACATCTTAAGGTTATGAGTTGCTGGTCTAGGTGCTCAGGACCAAAGTCTCAGGGGACACCCTAATCATTTGGCATAAAACATTACACAAAGACATCCAACTTTGGTGAGTAATAGCTGAAAGCTTAAAAGCTCGTGAGCGGCCACCTCAGGTGCAGTTATTGGTCTCTCCATGTACGGAAGGAAGAAGAGTGCTGAAAATTGAAGATGCTCGGAACCAATTAGTTCACTGGACTAACGGAGCACATGAACATCAGTCTCCACGACTCTGAGACCAGAGAACTAGATGGTGCCTAGCTACCACTACCAACTACTCAGAAACAGTGAAAGGTCCCAGAAACAGTGAAAGAAAATGTAGAACAAAACTCAAAATTATTTATTAGAAACATATTGGGTTTACTAGTCAGAAAGAGATGGAGATACCTGAGACTCTGACCCTGTACCACCCTTCAGGTCTGGCATGGAACTCATCCCCATGGCAAAGTTTTCAGCCAAGCAGTAGATAGATACATAGAAGGGACAACAACACTAGTAGGATATATGATCACCATGGAATGGTCAATCATTCAAGATGAAAAAGACAACATTTACTTAAGAACAAAGCTGAGAAGAAGTGATGGAAAGGAGTGTGAAATGGTAATAGGAACCACAGGGAGGAAGTGGGATAACTGTTGCATGGAGGGGATGGCAGTCGTTGAGATGAAACCAAGTGTATGATTTGTTGAATGTACAACTGATGATGTTATCTGTAAACCTTCACTCAATTCACAATAAAAAGTTAAAAAATTTAAATGGGTGCTCTTTAAAACCTTCTAAAGCAGATAATTGCCACTAACCAAAAAAAGGTCGTTAGTGTTCTCTTAACTCAAAATTGCCTATAGCTTTAATTCTCAGTAAAAGCTGACTTGATAAACAGATTTTTTTTCCTCTCAGTATACTTCAAAATGACTCATGAAGCCACTTAGGAAAAGTTCCATTTAGGCATGTTAGATACAATGTATGAGTTTTTAAGAATCTTTGCAGTCTGGAGTCCTGGTATGGTGCTGTGGGCTAATTCGTCAAACTGCAAAGTCACTTGAACTGCAAGGTCAACGGTTCAAGCTCACCAGCTGTTCCTTGGAAACCCTATACAGGGTCGCTATGGGTCAGAATCAACTCGACGGCACTTAACAACAGCAACAACAACAACATACTTCAAAATGACTCATGAAGCCATTTAGGAAAAGTGTCATTTCAGCATGTTAGATACAATGCTTGAGTTTTTAAGAATCTGAGAGAAGAAAAGTAAAATTCTGGGTGACAAAGAACTGCAGTTTTACCTAAGCCTAGCCCAGTGAAGCTTGATACCCCCATAGGCACAGACTCCAGGTTAGCAGAAGCAAATGTCGAGTAAAAAACAGAAAACCTTTGCCAATTTGGAAACTGTAGATGTAGAGGGAAATGTGAAGTTGATTGGGAAGAGTCGTAACAGTTAGACATTTTGAACTAATAGTCTTGCATTGTGGTTATGTGCCGCTGAGTCTATTTTGACTCGTAGTGACCTTGTAAAGGGTTTCTAGAGAGTGGCTGGTGGGCTTGAACTTTGTTAGCAGTCCAGTGCTGATCCTACCATACCAAGATTCCAGTTTTGCATTATGATAAATAGGACTAGGCTTTACAGCAAGGAGAGTAGGCAATACTCAGCTTTGTCTTCCCCTTTGGGACTGACAAGAAAAGAAACCAGTGGGGTATTTAAAAGATATATATGAATATAAGGAGTTAGCTATGTTATGAAAACAACACTCTGTAAGCCCAAGAAGCCCTTAGAGTGACTTAATGTAATAGCTGTGGAAATGTCTTTATGTGACTTAATGACACATGTCACAGTTTTGAGTAGATTCAAATGACTCCTAAGTGCTGATCAGGAAAATGTGATCTCTCTGCCCGAGGGAGATGAAAACTGAGTAATGGCCATCAGCCTTTCCAGTGGAAAGCTTATTTGAAACTGCCGTGACTGCAGTTTCCACAAAAACTTGGGATCCAGATTTTGTTACGAAACTAAGAACCTTTCAGATAAAAGGTATTATAAAAAGGTTATAAATAAAGTTTATTAAAGTTTAGTAAATCGAAAGTACTGAATTCATGAGAAAGCAACTGAGCTGAGCATACATTTCTCAGCAGAAACTAGACTTTAATTATTTTTAAGAGTCTTAAATGTAGCTACTTATCATTCTACTCTTTCAGATCAACTGCTTAAATTTAGGATGTTTTGATGTTCGTCTGTTTCACCTGTTTTGTCCTTGGGTGGCTCAAAGGGTTAAATACTCAAGTACTAGCTGAAAGGTTGGTGGTTTGAAGCCACCCAGAGGCACCTCAGAAGACAGTCTGGACAGTCAGCTCTGTTCTGCACACACAAAATAGCCATGAGTCAGTCAGCCACACAGCAGCTAACCAGCAACACAGTATGATGTTAGTTGTTTTGTTGTTGAAAATTAAACACGTTCTGTTCCCTGTCCCTTCTTTTTTCATTTTTGTTTTTGTTTTGGTCTTTTGTAGACCCTGTTGGAAACAACTACTAGCCTTCTAAACCAAGATCTCCACTGGTCATTGTGTAACCTGAGAGCTTCAGTCACTAAAGGATTGAATCCCAAGCAGGATTACTGCTCTGTATGTTTACAGCAGTACAAGAGACGCCAAGAAATGGCTGATGAGATTATTGTCTTTAGGTAAGAGGGGGACGGAACAGTTGCATATGTGGTATGTGTATACGAATTATTATTGCTAGGCAGAAATACACATGACATATAACCCCCAAGCCCTGGTGTGGCACTGGACTGCAAGGGCTGTTTGAGCCACACTGGCAGTTCAAACTCACCAGTTGCTCCTTGGAAACTCCTGGGTCACTGTGAGTCAGAAGGCACTTAATTTAGTAATTCCAGTAGTGAACTGATTCAGTCAGTCATTCTAGCAGTGAACAAGACAGGCAAAGTTGCCATTCTTGTAGACTTTAAAATTCTGGATGAGGATAGAGGAGAGTGGGTAGGGTGGTCAGATAGTAAATAAATCACAGAGTGTAATACAAGCTACAAAGAAAGGGACTAGTCGAGGATGACTCCAGAGTTTCTGGCTGAGAAACTGGAAGATTGGAGTTGCCATTTATTGAGATGTGGAAGGTTGGGTGAGAGCATGAAGTGGATGTGTAGGGTTTTTTTTGAGGGGTGGGGGGCACTGGGGGCACAGAATAAGAAGTTTGATTTTGGATATCTTAAATTCCACCTGAAAGTTATGCATTGACATCTGGGGTACTCAAACATTTCAGGTTGAAGCAGTAAGGAGGAATCAACAAAGATGACTGGTCAGTTAGAAAGAAAGGAAAACGAGACAATGGGGAGTCATAGTCAGTTGAAGAGGGCCTTTCAAGGACAGAGTGTCAAATGCTGCTGGTTGTAAAGATGAAATCTGAGAATTGTCCATTAGATTTAGCAGCAAAGTCATTGGTAACTTGACAAGAGCTGTTTCAGGGAGTAGTGTGAATGAAAGCTCGAGAGAGAAGAGACCATTTAGAGACACCAAATATAGACTGCATATACCAGCTTTTAAAATTCTCCACAGGCAGAGAAACAAGGAGAGAGGAGTAGACTTGTGAGCAGAGGGACTGACAGAATGTGGGGTCTTCCTGTGGCAGAGCAGCTAAATAGCAGTATGAGAGGGATGAGATCCTGATGAAGACTGGTAGATGCTTCCAGTGTTGGACTCTTACCAGCTTTGAAATGAGGGGGAAAGAGCTTGGAGTTAGAATACAAGTAGCAAACATGTTGTTAGGCCAGTTAACAGGGATGCCTCATGAAACCGTGACCCTAAACCTCAAAACCAAGGATTCCAATCTCATGAGGTATTTGGCTAATACTGACATTTTAAAAGGTCCTTAAATCACAACTGTCAATTTGTTGAGGCAAACCACTCATATTTATTATCAAGCTGCATATATAATCGTGATTTTCCATTAACTTTTTTTTTTCAAACACTCTGAAAGTATTTCCTCATTTGAGAAATGTGAACAGAAGTCGAACACATTCCCCCAGGTGGTTGGTAGAGAATTTGAGTATACAAACATGTAAATCTGGGTTTAAACAAAGAGAAAGACAGAATATATGAATTCCCTTTTCTGTTTCTTACCCTACAAAATCATTCGTGTAATCCAGCTTAATAGAAATCTTTTGTTGTGTATAAATACACGCTAACATAGCTCATGTTTATGGATTTTATGGTAATGGAAACTAAAAATTGATCGCCTTCATTTTCCAGCTGTGGCCATTTGTATCACTCATTTTGTCTGCAAAACAAAGAGTGCACCATAGAAATTGAGGGCCAAACAAGATGGACTTGCTACAAATGCAGCTCAAGCAACAAAGTAGGGAAACTAACTGAAAATTCATCTGAAATTAAGAAGGGAAGGATAACCACATCACAGGTAAGACTTTTTTTTTTTTTTTTTTTTAAACAGCCAGATGAAGGTGATCTTATCAGTATCCTTTAGTCCCAATCTCATTTTCTTCAGGTCTTTTTGTCTTTAGATGCCGTCGCATCGGCTACATCTCAGAATGAACTTTGCATAGTCCTGCATCATCCTCACAATTGTGGCAGTACTTGAGCCCACTTTTGCAGTCACTGTGTCAATTCAGGTCTTACTGGCTTCAACAAATTTCCCTGATAGTTATCCAGTGTACAGTACCTTCTCTTCTTATTTAGGGTTTGATGAGCCTCTCTCTCCTCTCTGCCCAGCATAAAAAAAAATGGTTGAGTAAGACTCACCCAACAATGGGTCTCTTGTGATACAATAGTGAATTAATTGTTATCAGAACTGCTTGTGAGGGTTGGAAATGTAGACATTTTGTATCAAGGTGAGGAGTGATTGACTTTCCAGTCTAGGAGCGGAGGAGGTCCCTGGGACCATCAAGGGGAGAAGGGTGGAGAGCGGGACCCTACCCAGAGAAGTAGTGATGCCTGAGATGGAGGCAGAGAAGATGATGTGGAGAGATGGAGCAGTTGGGGACTTAAGACCCAGAGAGGGAGAGGGGCTGTGTGCTGACGACGGGTGCAGGCATGTAGTGTATACCCATTGGTTGGTTGATGATGAATGGAGGGGATTGTAACCATGGCAATGAAATGATATTCGATAGGATGAATGTAAAACTAATGTTCTCCCATGTAAACTATCACATAATTCACAATAAAACACTAAAAAAAAAAAAGACTCACCCAACAAATCAAAGATCCAATAAGAATGGGAACCAGGTTTAAGCAAGGTCTTTAAAGAAGACCTTTTCCACCTCTGAGAAGTTCATGATCTAGTTGAATGGAAGACGTACAGACTTGAGCCTACTTACGAAACTTTGACAAAATAACAGGTCAGCAAGTCCAAAACTGCTACAGTCTTGAGCCTTGTTTAGGAGTGCAGAGTTACCATTTTTAAGTCGGCTTGGTGATGGAGAGAATGTATACACTTATGCTCTAAGACTGGTTTTCTCAACTGGGGACATTTCTCAAATACTTGATGCAGTAATGTTCATTTGCGAAAGTTTTATATTGCCTTTGGAGTCTGACCATTGGACGATATACAACTTTTTTCTGTTTTACAGCATCAAAAAAATGTATTTTTTTAAGAGCAGACATTGGAGCAGATTTTGAACTTTATTGCTTAGTAGCTTTGAGAGAGCAAAATTTGCCAATACAGAAAGCTCATGGGAGAAGCAGGACTGTGACTTGATTGTACTGTGCTCAGCTATACTTCCTGTTCAGAATTGTAACATCCTAGGTGTGGTGCTGTAGGATAAGCGCTGTACTGCAAGGTCAGTTTGCACTACCACGTTGGTGCGCTCAAACCCACCAGCTGCAATGCATCTCAGAAACCCTATACAGGGTTGCTATGAGTAGGAACCAATTCCACAGCACTTAATAGCAACAACAAATAATGTTAAGCAAGCTGAAATGGGAACAATTTTGGGTTTTTTAAAGCATTTTTTTTCTAGCTGTGATTTTCTTAAGATAGTGTTAAATAATCTGGTTAGTAACACAAGAAGGGAAGAAAAAATGACACATTTTCACATGGTTTATGTTATGCTAGTCTTCACAGCAACTTTATGAAGGAGACAGAATTATTTTACAGCTGACAGAGTCCAGGTGTGGCGCTTTGGGATAAAGCACTGGACTGCAAGGTCATTTTGAACCATAAGGTCGTGATTGAAACTCACCATCCACTCATTGGAAACCAATTCAACAGTATTTAACAACAGCAACAACAACAAAAACTGTAGCTCAGAGAAGGAGCACCAGTCTTGGAACTCATCACCCCCAGTTTCCTTCTCCACTATGTTCCCCATCTTAGCCTGTTCTGTCTCTCTTTTAAAAATCATTCTGGCTCTACTGAAACCTGGTAGAGCTGATATTTTAAATACACCCAGGCCACATTGGCTGTGCTAGTCATGGTAACTTGCATGGTGTGACTATTCACATTTTAAATTGTAAGGAAATTTAAATTGAAAATAATCTATATTATGATGACTTTTTAAAATGTATTTCACAAAAGTTCAACTTTTTTTTCATTTCCTTTGAAAATCTGTCAGCCCTGTTGCATTCTTACCCAGCGCATCCAAACCAAGTGCATGGAAGGTAGCACAGGTGAGGAACCAGGACTCAGAAATCACCCACCTGTTGCTCTTCCTCTCTGCATTTGGAGATTCTTATGCCTTTTTGTAATATAATCTTTCTACCAAATAGTGTTTTATTTCATCCTTTTCCAAAACTGTGATAAATGACTTTTGTGTTTTCAGTGTTTTGAGTCCTGTTGTGGCACCATAGGATAAGCACTCAACCTCAAGGTCAGTTTGAACCACAAAGTCAGCAGTTCAGACTCACCAGCTGCTCCTCAGAAACCCAATATAGGGTCACTAGAGTCAGAACCGACTCAACGGCACTTAACAACAACAACAACAGTTTAACAGTATGCGACAGTTGCCCTCAAAACCATACTTTTAGAAGAGAGAAATTCTTTTTTCTTGCTGTTCACATCTGTCTTCTTAACAGCTTGTCAATCTATGCAGACAGTAACATGAGTTTATTAGTTATTGTCAAAGGTGTACACAGATATGACAAGAGTTACTATCCAGAAAGTTTGCTCTTCTCTGGAATGAGCACTTTTGGTTTTTATTAATTTTTAGAATCATCTTAAGAAAATGTTTTGTCTTTCAGAGTAAATTTATGAGTAATGTAATTGGAAAGTATTAATAACTGTCAAGTAATCAATAATTGATGTTTATGCTCACGTCATACTTTTCTATAACTCTTATACATTGCTTAATTATTTTTAATTCCCAGTGTATATTGGAAATTTGGTTTGCATACTGTTTAATGAAATAGGAACACTAATATTAATGCCTTGTGTTCATTTGCTGATTTTTAGAGAATATTAACTTTCCAGTATAAACAGGTTAGATTCAACTTATATACTAAAAATGAGATTTCAGGATTTGATGATAGCACCATTTCTCAAAAGCTTATCTTCTAAATTAAACTTATATATTAAATTAAGATTAATATCTCAGAAGTCCAGAGAGATAATAATATATAAGTGACATTTTTTGGAGAACATTATCCATTGTCTAAAATCTTATTATACTTTAGTACTGAGTACTTTATTATTTCAAGCAGTATTTGACATATGCCTTCATCGGGTCAAAATGCTAAGTATACATTAGTGAACAAAAACAAGCAGTTCCCTCAGTCGATGTAGCTTACCATTTTTAGTAAAGGAGCTAGATAGTAATCAAGTAAACAAACAATATCATTTTAAATTGTAATTTGAAATGCTGCAAGGTACTGTGAGAAGAAAGAATAGAATGTCATAGCATGAGTGGACCTACTTCAGATCGGGCAGACAATTCAGAGATGACATTTAAGTTGAGCCCAGAAGGATAAGACGGTACCAGCCATGTATGAGAACTAGAGAAAGAACATTCCAGGCAAGAAGAGAACAAGCCCAAGGATCTAAAGAGGGAAATAATTTGGATGTTCGAAGAAATGAATGATCAGTGACTAGAACATAGTTGGCAGGGCCAGATCCTACATAGCCTTATAAGCCCTGGTATGAGTTTGGGTTTTATTCCTGAAGTACAGGCAGTCCCTGGATTACAAATACGTTCTGTTCCTAAGTCTGTCTTTAAGTCTAATTTGTTAAGTTGGAACAGTTACGTATGGTTCATATCTGGTGTCAACATAGGCAAATTTTTATCTTAAAATAGTTTACCTTTTCTGTACATAAGAAACAAACACTTCCAGGTACACTAAAACATCCTTTTAGCACAATAAATCAGCAATAATAATAGCACAATAAAGCAGTAATAATAATAGTGTTTTGTTGCTTGTCCTAAAGTAATGCCCATTTGTTATTATAAACCATTTTATTTATTTCAAATTTTTAATATATTCGACTCTACCGGGATTGGTTCATAACTATGGATGTACGTAAGTCAGACATATCACTTTTCCAGAGCAGCGTGACCATCATACTTATTAAACTTCTGTAAATTTGTGCATCTATGTTTGATCCAAAAAAATTTACATGTTCAAGAGACCAAAGGCTGACAACAGTACTAAGAACTGTTTTCAATCTTTATATATAAGT